GAGGATTTGTCTTTCGTGCCCGAGTCATTTCGTGCGTGTTCTCCTGGATTTTTGCTTGGTCACGGCGCCGTTGCCGCTCCGTGCGTTGGTTGGGTGTTCTGGCTTTCTGTCCCGGGCGCCGCCCGTCGCCTTGATGTTCCAGGCCTCAGTTCCGTGGCCGCTTCTTCGACGCCCCAGGCGCTTCTGGATGCTCACGTAGCATCTGCTCCAGGGAGCATTCCCAAGCACTGCTTGCTTCTGCGTGAGGGTTCCTGCAGTGCTTCCTGAGGACCTGGAGGGGTCCAGAGCTGGACCTAAACGCTGTTGTGCTGGACTTCGGCAGTGTTTTGTTTTTCGTGTTGGCAGGGAGGTACAGGAAAACAAGGAGAGCAACACGAAACACAAAACGAAAGCGGCGAAACGAAACACAACGTTTGGGTCCAGCCCTGGATGGGTCAGCCGAGGTTCCGCCTGGTGTTCCGTTGGTTCCCGACTAGTGGGCGCTTTGTGTGCTGGATGGGTCAGCCGAGGTTTCGTCTGTGTGCCCAGTTGGTTCCCGACCAGTGGGCGCCTCGTGCGCTGGGTGGGCAAGTCGAGGCTTCGCCTGCGTGCTCGCCCGTGGGCGCGTCGTGGGCACCGCACACGTAGAGTGCACGGCATGCCTTGCGGCCTACACCACGGCTTACACCTTGCAGTTGGTACTGTGTGGTTGCCATGCCCATGTCAGCCTCTCCTCCTGCGCCTCTCTCTGTACGCCCTTGTGTGTCGCCGTTGTGGCTCACAAGGGCCCTTGAGTCACCTGGCGCGCAGGCGACGGGCGCGCCCTGGCCCCCGTAAAAGGAAGGAGAAAGTGCTATCTCATAGCACGGGTCCCCCTACTTGCATGTCGTGTCTCACTGTATGCCACATAGCTCATACCACATATATTCTACCACATAGCCTGCATCACATCGCTTGCACCGCAAGGCTTACGTGTCTGCCAGCATGGGCCCCAAACAGGCGATCGTTACACGGTGGATGCGCAAACTTTGTGGTGCAAGGCGTGTGGTGTAAGCTATGTGGTGTAAGCGGTGCTGGCCGCATCCGCGCGTGACCACTTCCAATGCTCGCGCAAACATCACCTCCGTCAACCTGCAGCTCGCTGGCAAAGTCGACATGGCGGCGACAACGACGATGACGATGACGATGACGACGGTACTGGTGACGATGATAATGGTGATGCTGATGGTGATGGCGATGACGATGACGATGATGCTGATATTGCTTATGGTGTCGCTGATGATGATGATTCTGCTGATGATGATGATGATGATGATGATGATGATGATGATGATGATGATGATGATGCGGGTGATGCGGGTGATGATGGTGATGCAGATGATGAAGATTACGATGCTGCTGACGATGCCGACGACGATGCTGATGACGATGATCTGGACGACGGTGATGACGGTGCCGGCGGCGACGACCTGTAATGGTGAGCTAATGGCCACGAGCATGACGGTGGAATCGACGATGCTGGCTATGATGACGAGGATGGTGTTGGTGAGGATAATCAGGGAGAGCACACGCGCTCAGAAATATTGCTGCCTGCGGCAAGGCCCGCCGCCGTGCCAGCAAAGCATTCTGGATGGCGATTGCTCGGGGGGGCGCGGGAGGCCGTCACGTGTGACACCCCGTGTCTCCATTCTTAGGAGTGCCGTGGAAAGGATTTTGAGGATTATCAGGATTACTTGGGTGATGACGATGATGGTAAGCGATGATAATGGCGATGATCACTATGACGATGATAATGCTGACGCTGACGCTGATGGTGGTACGGAGGATGAACGTGATGAAGATGCAGATGAATCTGATGACGATAATGATGATGATGATGCTGATGATGCTGATGGTGATGGTGATGATGGTGATGTTGATGGTGCTACTGTGGATGATGATGCTGATGATGATGCCAATGACGATGATGCGGATGATGATCTTGATGATGATGATCTCAATGACGATCATGGTCATGGTCATGATCATGATGATGCCGGAGGAGGAGGACGACGATGACGATGCTGGTGGTGATTATAGAGAAGGTGACGATGATGATGGCGACATGATGATGACGACGTCGATGATGATTGATGATGATGATGATGATGATGATGATGATGATGATGATGATGATGATGATGATGCTGATGATGATGATGATGATGATGATGCGGATGATGATGATGATGGTGATGATGCTGATGTTGATGATGACGACAACGACGATGATTATTATGATGCATACGGTGATGATGACGGCCATGTGATTGGATGATGGTGCAATGATGATGGTGACATTGATGATTATGCGGATGTTGATGACGATGTTGATGATGATTATGATCATTATGATGATGATGATGATGATGATGATGATGATCATGCTGGTGATGCTAATGATGTTGATGATGATGATGCTGATGGCGACTGTGATCGCGATGGTGACGGATGATGCTGACGATGTTGTGGATGAGGATAGTGGTGGTGATGATTGTGATGGTGATGACGATGTTGTTGTCGCGGATGGTGATACTCTTGATGATGATGGTAATGATGATGATGATTATGATGATGATGATGATGATGATGATGATGATGATGATGATGATGCTGATTGATGGTTGATGATGATTATGATGATGATGGTGATGTTGATGATGATGATGATGATGATGCTGATGATGATGATGATGATATGATGATGATGATGATGATGATGATGATGATGATGATGATGATGATGATGATGATGATGCTGATTATGATGATGATGATGGTGGTGGTGGTGACGATGTTGACGATAATGATGCTGATGGTGCTGATGATGATAATGATGCTCATGCTGATGATGATGCTGATGATGATGTCGACGGTGCTATGAAACTTGTTCGATTTGTCGTGGGGCTGCCTTTGCCTCCTGCGGGGCAGTCCTGAGGGTCCCTTGGGACATCCTAGTTCGTCTTGGGGCGTTCTTACGTCGGCTTGGGGTTCTCATTTGCCGCCTGGGGGCCCTCTTGGCCGTCTGGTGGGCGTCTGGGGGCCGTCGTGGAGCGGTTTTGGCGCCGTCTTGGGCAGTTGAAGGACCTTCTCAGCCCGTCTTGTGTCCCACGAGAGGCCCTCTTTGTTTGGCCGTCTTGGGGCATTATTGGATACGCCTTGGGGCATCGTAGGGTCCTCTTGGGCCGCTTTGAGCTGACGGCAGCCCTAAATAGGCCAGAATGCGAACGTCAGCCAACAACCGAAGGGACATAATTGATTTGAGGCTCCTCGAACCCTGTTGGAGGTCTTCTTTTGGCCCGTTTGGGCCCTCTTGGAGGCACCGTGCGCCGTCTTGAAGCATTATTCGGCCGCCTTGGGGCCGTCTTGGTCCGTTTTCGAGGCATCTTGGGGTGTCCTTGGTTGCTTGCACAGGCCGTTTTGGAACCTCGGGGCGCATATCCATCGTTTTAAGCAAGGATCTTGGCTTGGGAGGCCCTGGAGCGCTTGGGAGCAGCGCCAGGAAATGCGGGAATTGCACGACCGCGGGTGAGCGTGGAATGGGGGGTCTATGAGGTGTCAGCCATGCGGGAAGTGCGCAATCCTCGAGCGGGCGCGCAAGGAGCGGGGGTTCAGGCATTCGTTGCCATGCGGGACGTGTTCCATCCTCGAGCGGGCACGCATGGCATGGGGGTTCAGGGATTTGCCGCCATGCGGGACGTGCACCATGATCGAGCGGTCGCGCGTGGAATGGGGGGTCAGGCATTAGCTGACATGCGAGAAGTGCATCATCCTTGGGCGGGCACTCGTAGAAGGATAGGCATTCGCTTCCATGCTGGAAGTTCACCATCCTCGAGTGGGCACGAGAGGAGTAGCCTCGGTGAGTAGTTGGGGTGCATGCTGGAGTCTGCGAGTGGAGAGGGTGCGGCCATTTATCACCTTGCAATTACTCTACCAGGCAGCCCTTGACATTCTTGCACGCGTCAACGCGCCAGGGGGCACGGTGGTGAATCTGGCGAGGGCGGCGACAAGGCCGATGCCGATGATGTTGGTGGCGGAGATGATGACGACGATGGCGATGATGACGATGATGGTGCTGATGATGTTGATGATGATGGTGATTCTGATGGGGGTGGGTGATGATGATGAGGCCTTTTATGATGATGATGCTGATGATGATGATGATGATGATGCCTTTTATGATGTTGATGATGATGATGCCTTTTATGATGCTGATGATGCTGATGCTGATGCTGATGCTGATGATGATGATGATGATGATGATGATGATGATGAGCATGACGATGATGACGATGATGACCAATGCAACGGAAACGCTGACGATCACGATAATGATGATGATGTGTTCGGTGGTGAGGAAGTGCGCGCCCGCAGAACTTTACAATTCAGCCTGTATTTTATTGGAACGCCAATTGGGTTTTCGTATGTGTTTGAGCACGTCGACATTGAGACGGTTCGAGGATCATTGGTGTTGGAAGGAATCTGACGCACCCGCGCGGAGACGCGCGCGCGTGGCCCGCATGATGGCGGCTGGTCGAGTTGGTGGGCAAACGGTGGTAGTCTCACGGTTTCTGGCAGACGGCCAGTCGGAGGCAACCGGCGTCCAGTTGGAGGCAATTGACCTGGCCAGTTGCCTCCATCTGACCTGGCCAGCTGCTTCAACTGACGTGGTCGGTTCTGTCCAATTCCAGGTCGGATGCTTCCAACAGACCTTCAGTTGCCTCCAACTGGCCAGCTGAGTAGCCTCCAAAACTGGCGGTCCGTTGGGGACAACCCAGTAACCTCCAACTGACCATCAGTTGCCTGCAACTGACCGGGTCAGTTCCCTCCATGTAACGGTCAGTTGGAGGCAACTCAACGGGTTAGTTGGAGGCAACTGGCCAGGTCAGTTGCTGCCAAGTGACGGCTAGTTTAAGGCAGCTCAGCGTGTCAGTTGGAGGCAGCTGACCTGGCCACTTGCCTCCAACAGGCCGTCAGTTGCCTTGAAGTGCCCATCAGTTGGAAGCACTTGATCTGGTCAGTTGCCTCCAACTGACCGTCAGCTGCCTCCAAATGATTAGGTCAGCTGTCTCCCACTGCCTGTCACTTGGAGGTAACTGGCCAGGTCAGTTGCCTCCAAGTGACCGTCCGTTGGAGGCAACTGGCGGTCAGTTGGAGTTGACTATCGGCCAGTTGGAGGCAACTGACCGTCCGTTGGAGGCACCTGACCAGCTGAATTGCCTCCATCAGCCGGCCAGTTGGAGGCATCTCACGGTCAGTTGGAGGTAACTGACCAGCTGAGTTGCCTCCAACTGACCGCCAGCTGTCTCCAACACACCGTCAGTTGCCTCCAAGTGACCGTCGGTTGGAGGCAACTGGCCTGGTCAGTTGTTTCCAACTGGCTTGGTCAGTTGCCTCCGCCTGACGGTCAGTTGGAAGCAATTGACGGTCAGTTGGATGCAACCCTGCTGGTCAGGTGCCTCCAACTGATGGTCAGTGTTGCCCCGACTGGCCGTCATTTGGAGGCAACTGAATTCTGCCCCGCCCGTTAGGGCCCGCCCGACCCGCGAGCCCTTTGGATGTTCGCGCGCCAACTTCATGACGCATTATACTTTCATGTCCCGCCCGCCAGACCCGACCCGACCCGCCCGACAGGGTCCGCCCAGCCCGACCCTTCTCGCTCGTTAGGGCCCCCCCGCCCGCTCGGCCCCCCCGGCCCGCCAGGGCTTCCGCGGCCAATTTCGATGACGCAACATCTCTTCATGTCCCGCCCGCCCGTCCCGACCCGACCCGGCCGCTAGGGCCCACCCGCTGCTCGACCCGCCCAGCCTGTTAGCGCCCGTCCGGTTGCCGGCCCCGCCCCGCCCGTCAGGGCATTCGCGTGCCTATTCGATGGCCCATCATACTTTAATGTCCCGCCCGCCCGACCCGACCCGATCCGCCCGCTAGGGTCCGCCCGCTCGACCCGACCCGACCCGCCCGCGCGGCCCCTGCCCGCCCGCCCGACCCGCCCGTTGGGGCCCCGCCCGCCCGCCCGGCTCGACCCGCCCGTTAGGGTGCCCGCGTGCGAGCTCGATGATGCGCCATGCTGCAAGGTCCGCCCGCCCGACCCGACCCGCCCGCGCGTCAGGGTCCGCCGGCCCGACCCGCCCCGCCCCGCCCGTTAGGGCCCGCCCGGCCCGCCCCGCCCGTCAGGGCATTCGCGTGCCTTTCCGATGATGCATCATGCTGTAATGTCCCGCCCAGCCCGCCCCGACCCGCCCGTCCGCCCGTCCGATCCGACAAATCGCTGATGCATCATGCATTAATGTCCCCCGCCCGACCCGACCCGGCCCGGCCCGCCCGCTCGGGTTCGCCCGCCAGACCCGGCCCGCCCCGCCCGTTGGGGTCGGTTCGCCCGCCGGACCCGCCCCGCCCGTCAGGGCGCTCTCGCATCGATTCGACGATGCACGATCCTCGTAAGTTCCCGCCCGCTCGACCCGACCCGGCCCGCCCGCAAGGGGCCTGTGGCCCGACCCGGCCCGCCCCGGGGCGCCTGTTGGGGCCTCCTGGGGCCTCCTGGGGCCCTCATTGAGCGCTCTTGGGAGCCTTGGGAGCGCTCTCGGTGCCCTCTTGGGCCATCTTGGAGTCATCTTGAAGCCTCGGATGGCCATCGGAAGCGAAAAGGCGAGAAAGCCCAAAACATTGATTTTCCTAAGGTTTCGGATTCGGGGCCTTTGGGGGAGCTCTTTGGCCACTTGGAGCCGTCTTGAAGCGGTCTTGGGGCCTCTTGGAGCATCGTTGGAATCATTTTGAGGCATCTTGGGGTATCTTGAGCCATCTTGGAGGTCATCTTGGGCTCTCCCAGGCGCTCGTGGAGTCATCTGAAGCAGTGCCCTGGGGTCTCTTGGGGCCTCGTGGGGGTCTCTTGGGAGCCTCTTAGGGCATCCTGAGGGCCTCTTGGGGGCTTCTTGGGGCCACATGGCATTTCTGGGCCTCTTGGGGCATCCTGGGCGCCTCTTGGGGCCATCTTGGAGGAGATCGATCACAGGAGGGGGTGGGGGCTCAATTAGCCCGCCCCCCTCAGGAGGCCAAAGTGGGGCCAAAACCGTAGTAAGACCAATGATTTTGGCTTCCTCGCCGAGGCCGTTTTGGACGTTCCGACGCGTCGCGGACCCCCCCGTCCAGGTCCAGGGGAGGGGGTAGGGAAGGGGTCAAGATTCCCGCCCCGCCCGCAAGCCATCTCGCTCACTCCCACCCGCCCTCCCAACACATACGTAGCACCCGGGTCTGGCCCGAGCCTCAGCATATTCAGCAGTCGTCTTTGGACGGGCAGCTGTTGGGGGCCAATCCGCCGCCGCCGCCGCCGCCTCCGCCGCCGCCGCCGCCGCCGCAGCCGCCGCCGCCGCCGCCGCAGCCGCCGCCGCCGCCGCCGCCGCCGCCGCCCGCGCCCGCCCGCCGCCGCCGCCGCCCCCGCTGCCAAATCGCCGCCGCCGCAGCCGCTGCCGCCGCAGCCGGTGCCGCCACCGCCACCGCCACCGCCGCCGCCGCCGCCGCGGCCGCCGCAGCCGCCGCAGCCGCCGCAGCCGCCGCCGCCGCAGCCGCCGCAGCCGCCGCCGCCGCTGCCAAGTGTACTCTGCATTGTTCTTTGATAGGGATGGTGGGGGGAGGCCGCATCGGGTTAGCTGCGCATGCTCCGAATTTGGAGGCAGAGTGTGTTTTGTATGGTTTTTGCAAGGGATGGTGGGGGGTGGTGCCCTCATGGTTCCTGGTTGGCTACCAGTCGCCTGGGGGAGGGGGTGTTTATCAATAGGGAACAGTGATAAACCCCTCCCCGAAGGGGAAGAGTAAACTCCCTAAACGACCTACGTCCAGAGGGCTGGTGGGATTAGTGGTGTCTCCTGGGGCCGTGTTGGGAGTACTCTTGGGGCGCTTTTGGGGCCTGTTGGGAGCCTCTTGGTCCGTCTTAGGGCCATCTTGGGATTGCGCTGGCTCCCTTGGGCCGTCTTGGTGGCTTTGGCGGTGTTGCCGCCCACCCCTCCCTCCCTCGCCCGGCCAAGCCACCCCTCTCGCCCTTCTTCCTGCGGCGCGGGAGCGGCTCCAGAGATCGTAGAACCCGACCTCTTCCCGGCAGAGCCCCCCCGGCCCCCCCCCCCCAAGCAGAGCTGAAGCTCAGGTTGCAGTCTTTCATTATTGGAAGACTCGCGCCGGATAGGTGGATTTCACACGCAGGGTGTAAGAGCCCACTGTGTGGGTCAACGCTGGCGAATATGCAACTGCTTGTTTCGTTGTGATTTGGGTGTACGTGAGCCGTCGTCGGGACCAAGGACAGAAACAGACCAAACGAACCGCGGTGAACAACATGGCCCCGAGATACGGTCGAGAATTTCGAGGGTCACGTCATGAACACATCAGGTACCGACCTTCCATTTCTAACGCATCCACCTCCCCAACCCATCCTACTACTACTCCCAGTGGGAGGAAACTCCCAGTGATCTGGGGGATGGCCTCCCCCCTCACTCTTCCTGCCTCTCTGCCCTGCCCTTCCTTCTAGCCTCCCGATCGTGCGAAGTAGGCCCGCGTTGGTTGTTTCAACACGCTGGCATTGGATGTCAGCAGGGGGACATAGCTACTACAGGATCGGGATGACGGGCGCGAGTGCGCAACTTTCCTGCATTCCACAAGGCCAGCCGCGGGGAACGCCGAGGCGTCGCCGCCCTTCCCCATCCTAAAGAAGAGCCCCAAGCACCTGGCGCAGAGCCTGCAGGATCAGAGCCTTTCTCGATTCCAAAGTCGCGGCCGCATTTAATTCATCATGTTCGGCTTCCTGGGTCCGGTTTCGGCCTCTGGGGCCAAGCAAAGAACCCAGGCTGAAAGTCTAGTTCAGGGGAGTGGGTCGAGAGAGTCATCGGAGTCGTGAGCCATCCATAATTTGTTATGGTGCGTATCACAGCCTGGATTCTGTCAAGTATTGGGGGTGGACAGCACTGATTGATGGCAGCTCCTCAGCCGTGGCCTACCTGGCGAATAGCACGCTACGTCGGGGACGAAGCATGACACTTCGCGTATCCGTATCGGCCCATTCAGCAACGATGCCCAGGAGAGTTCCATTGATGAGGGAGGTGAGGGAACACGCAGTGGGACAAAGAAGCGGGACAGCCTTCAAACCGAAGACCTGGAGCAGTTTGAGCAAGCCGAGAAGTCAACCAACAATGCTTTCGCGAATCTTTCGATATGGGAGCCTTTTGTCAGCTTTCTTGGGCCATCTTGGAGCCATTCGGGAGTGTTTCGGGACTCTTCGGGGGCCTCTTGAGGCCCTCTTGGGGGCCTGGGCGTTGGGGTCTGGACTGGCTGACCAGATCTCGGGAATTGACGGCTTCGCGGCGATGGGGTACTCGGGGACCACCTGCGTGCACCCTTGACCGTGCACCCACGTTCGTTGGCGCTATGTCCATGTTGTCGGATTGGGGTCCCCGCTGGAAGGGTAGCCACCCTCGGGGTCCAAGGAGTCGCATCCATACCGATAGGACCACCATTCGTGTGATAGGGAGGCTGGGGGGGGAGGGAAGGGCGGTCGATGTGCGATGACTCCCACCTGCCGCCACCAAGGAGCGAGCGGGCAAATACATACCACCTACTTCCGCATGCCTCTACCTAGCTAACTAATATATCATATCATGTATATATATATATATATATATTGTTTCCATGTTTCTACCGATCTATATGTATATATGTATAGAGCTATCGGTCTATCTATGTTTCTGCCTATCGATCGACCTCTCTATAGGGTTGACTATCGGGGCAACCATGGGGACACCCGTCGGGACAACCCGTCGGGACAGCCATCGGGACGGCCGTCGGGGCAACCATCGGGACAGCCATCGGGACAGCCGTCGGGACAACCGTCGGGACAACCATCGGGACAACCATCGGGGCAACCATCAGGGCAACCATCGGGACAGCCGTCGGGGCAACCATCGGGACAGCCGTCGGGACAGCCGTCGGGACAACCGTCGGGACAACCGTCGGGACGACCATCGGGGAGGCCCGCCCGGCCAGGGGGGGGGACGTGCGGCCTTTTTGGGGTCCATGTGGTTTCTACCAGTGTCCTTTTCCTCCTCTTCCTCCTCTTCCTCCTCCTCCTCCTCCTCCTCCTCCTCCTCGCGCAGCCTCGCCTCGCCCGCACGCACGACACGAACCGAAACCGAGACCGCTTTCCCGGTTGGGGGTCACTTCCGTTCACTCCCCCCCCACCTCCGATTTCTGGCGCCTTCATCGCCTTGCCCTTCTCATTTCTTCCTCCCTACCTATAGGCTTGCGTATGTGATTCCCCAATCAGTGCTTGCACTAAAGGGGTCCTAGTGGATTTTGAAGGACTTGGCAAAATTTGGCGGCCGATTTCGGTAGGCGACCGGGTTCCCGGGTTCCCGGTCCCCGGTTTTATTGTTCCCCATCCTGTGGTGTTGAGTCTACGTTTTGAAGAGACGGTCCCCGCGTTCTTCTCCTCTCCTCTCCTCTCCTCCTCCCCCTCCTCCTCCCTCCTCCCCCTCTTCCCTGCGTTTCACCCACCCAGTACAGCGTTTCGTAGCCCCCCAGGGAGCTCCAGCGAAGGCCTCAGTGCCACCGTCCACATGCGTCCCCCCCACTCAGTACAGCGTTTCGTGGCCCCATAGGGAGCTCCACCGAAGGCCCCAGTGCCACCGTCCACATGCGTCCCCCAGGGAGCTCCACCGAAGGCCCCAGTGCCACCGTCCACATGCGTCCCCCCCACTCAGTACAGCGTTTCGTGGCCCCATAGGGAGCTCCACCGAAAGCCCCAGTGCCATCGTCCACATGCATCCCCCCACTCAGTACAGCGTTTCGTGGCCCCATAGGGAGCTCCACCGAAGGCCCCAGTGCCACCGTCCACATGCGTCCCCCCCACTCAGTACAGCGTTTCGTGGCCACTCCACCGTCCACATGCGTCCCCCCCACTCAGTACAGCGTTCAGTATGCTTCGCTCCCATAGGGAAAGGCCCCAGTGCCACCGTCCACATGCGTCCCCCCACTCAGTACAGCGCTTCGTGGCCCCATAGGGAGCTCCACCGAAGGCCCCAGTGCCACCGTCCACATGCGTCCCCCCCACTCAGTACAGCGCTTCGTGGCCCCATAGGGAGCTCCACCGAAGGCCCCAGTGCCACCGTCCACATGCGTCCCCCCCCACTCAGTACAGCGCGTTCGTGGCCCCATAGGGAGCTCCACCGAAGGCCCCAGTGCCACCGTCCACATGCGTCCCCCCCACTCAGTACAGCGTTTCCCCATAGGGAGCTCCACCGAAGGCCCCAGTGCCACCGTCCACATGCGTCCCCCCCACTCAGTACAGCGTTTCGTGGCCCCATAGGGAGCTCCACCGAAGGCCCCAGTGCCACCGTCCACATGCGTCCCCCCCACTCAGTACAGCGCTTCGTGGCCCAATAGGGAGCCCCACCGAAGGTCACAGTGCTACCGTCCACATGCGCCCCCCCACTCATTACAGCGTTTCGTGGCCACATAGGGAGCTCCACCGAAATCCCCAGTGGGACCGTCCGAGTGCGTCCTGAAACACCCAATGTGGCATGTTCACCCACCCATTACAGCGCTTCGTTGCCCCACACGGAGCTCCACCGAAGGCCCCAGTGCCACCGTCCGCATGCGACCCGCACACCCAATGTGGCATTTTCACCTACCCAGTGCAGCGTTTCGTGGCCCCGTAGGGGACTCCACCGAAGGCCCCAGTGCCACCGTCCGCATGCGTCCCGAAAGCCCAACGTGGCATTTTCACCCACCCAATACAGCGCTTCGTGGCTCCTTAGTGAGCTCCACCGAAGCCCCCAGTGCCACCGTCCACATGCGTCCCGGAAACCCAATTTGGCATTTTCACCCACCCAGTGCAGCGCTTCGTGGCCCCATAGGGAGTTCCACCGAAGCCTCCAGTGGGACCGTCCGCATGCGTCCTCTCCATCGATCTCATTACCAAGCTCTTTATCCATCTCACAATTGATCTCACTATCGATCTCACTATCGATCTCACAATCGATCTCACTATGGATCGCACGAGCGATCTCACGATCGATCTCACAATCGGCCTCATTGAATAGACTTCACTGTCGGTCTCACGATCGACCTTACAACCGTCATCTCAATCCTTCCCACTATCGATTTCATTATCGATTTCATAGTCGATCTCAGTACCCATATCATTGACTTCCAGACCATCAACTGATTTGGATGTTTCTCTGGTGTAATGTTTTCCCAGCATTGCATTAACACTGCATCTTGTGCCACGCCGCCTGCACGTCGAAGAGCCTGGCTGGTCCGCCCGCCAAAAAGAAGGACGGCCTTCGGCCCCGAGGAACTGTTGGAGCCGTTTTACAAGGCGTGCGCGAGCGCCGACGTCATGAGAGAGGACACGCGGTGGCCTAACACGTCTCGAACGCCATACATCGAGACCCTGGGGAAGCCGGACCCTAGCAACACCGCCGCCCAGCAGATGATGGGAGTAGGCGATGGGCCGGGATCCAATTCTCGAGGACGAGCGACGTGCACGAGCATCAAGTCTCCGAGGTCCGCACGGAGGTTTTTGGGTGTCGGTATTGGGCCCCCCTCTATGGCGCGCGGAGCGCGCCGAGAGCGGTGCGAGGGGCGCCGCCAGGGAGGGGGGTCCAGCACCAGCCCCCCCCCCCAGGAAACGTCGCAGGCCTCCGACACACGGGGGTTTGGTGAAAGGGTGGAGCTGGTTTCAGCCCCGCTGATATGGCAGCCGTCTGATGTCCGTCGGCCCATCCCGCCACCGTGCCTGGGCTGTGGGTATCAAGCCTACTGGATGTTCGTTGGGATCTCGTGGGGGGCCTCTCGGGGGCATCTTGGAAGCAGTTTGGACGCTTTGGGGGAACCATTTCGGGGCCTCTTGGGGTCTCTTTTCGGCCTCTGGGGGGCTTCTGGGGGCCTCTTGGGAGCCTCTTGGGGGCCTCTTGCGGCCTCCCAGGCGCCTCAGGCTGAGATCCTCGGTTCGTGCTCCCCCTCTTGGGCCCCTGTTGGGGCGTCCTCGGGGCCCTCTGGGGCTGCCTTTTTGGCTGGGCCGCCTGAAAGTCCTCCTGGGCCGTCTGGGGAGCTCTCTGCGCACGTCACCGCCCACAGCCTGCCTTCCTGGATGCCACTTGCGACAGACCAGGGCTGGACCCAAACGCTGTTTTGCTGGACTTCGGCTGTTATCTGTTTCTTGTTTTGGCAGGGAGGTGCAGGACAACAGGCAGAGCGAAACGAAAAACATGACACCGGAAAGAAACCCCAATCGGTGGATGGTCATGAAACACCCGAGGCAAAAAAAAAAAAAACAATCTCACAATCGATTTCAATATCCATATCACCAACATGGAGATGGAGATCGATTGTGAGATCGATAGTGGAATCGATAGTGAGGACGATTGTATAGTCGATCGTGAGACGGACACATTGGCGCTCCGAAAGTTTATTCCGATTTGAGGAGCACGGTGCCGCGCGAATGCAGCGCAAACGCTATGCTGGAAGGGCGCGGCAAGTCATGCCCCCTGGATTGGCGAGAGCAGCCGCGCCCCCGCTCATGCCCCGATCCCGCGCGGGGCGCGTTCCCGTTGACAGTGGCTGACCCGGGAAACCGTTTCTTGTGCAGGAAGTCCTGAACGGTGTGCCCATCGGCGGCTCCTTCGGACGAGGCCCGGAACCACCGAGAAACCGTTTTTGATAGGAAGTTCGAGGCGGTTCGCCCATGCTCGGTTTCTTCGGAATGGGCCCGAAGACCTTGAGAATGATGTTTTTGTAATGAGTCCTACGCGGTTTGCGCACTTTCGGGTCGTTCGAACCGGACCCGACAATTCTTTTTGGTACAAGTCCTATAGCATTTGGCCATTTTCAGGTCGGCCGGTAAACTTTTCGGGTCGTCGCATGACCGAGCCCGAAAACTTCTTTCGAGGAGGTCCTATGCCGTTTCCTCATTTTCGGGTCAGTACACCGTTTGGGATTCAAAATTGTAAACTGGGAAGGGGAACCCGATCCCGCGACCCCAGGCGGGGGTTAGGCTCTGCCCTTGCATTGTACTGGGCCCCTCCGGCCAAACGGGGTGATGGGCAGCCTATCGGCGCGCCGGCTTTGCCTTCGCGACATCGCCCCCATCCGCTCTCGGGCTCCGCGGGTTTTATCCTGCGCGCGCCACCCCAGGGATCCGAGGCGAGCGCGGTGGCGAAATCGGGGAAAACTTTCGGATCGGCGCAGTAGTGAAGTCGATTCAATGAGATCTATGATGAGATCGATCGGGAGATCGCTCGTGCGATATATAGTGAAATCGATTGTGATATCGATAGTGAGATCGAATGTGGGATCGATAATATGATCGTTAGCGCGCTGGGTAATGAGATCGATGGTGGGACCGATCAGCAAGAAGATGAACCGGGAAACTGGGACCCCAGGAACCCATAACCCACCGAAATCGGCCCGGAACCCATAACCGGGAACCCGGCAACCCGGAACCGGCAATTCGGGAACCCAGCCTGCCATCAAAATCGGCGGGAAATTTTCGCCAAATTTTTCAACCTCCGCCGGGACCCCTTCAGTGCAAGCACTGATTGGGGAAAAACGAACAACAAGACGGAACACAACGTTTAGGCCCAGCCCTGCGACAGATTGGACCCACGGGCCGAGCGCGATACTGCGGGAGGTCTTACGGGAGCCGTTCCATAAAGTTTGTAAGAGCCTTGTGAGAGCCCGCTCCGCTTTCACGCAAACCTGCGTTGCACGTCGCACCGGGCTCTTTCCCTTCGCGTGCAGCCCAGCCATGCTTAATGGTCTCCCCGAGAGCCCTCTTGGATCTCCAAGTCCGGGAGGCTTCACATGTTTCCAGGACGTTTCTCCCGAAACCGTTCTCACGATTTTACTGCAGCAAGCCGTTGCAGGACTTTCTGAGGTGCGGCCGAGAGCCGCAGGACAGCTACTGTGCCCGCTGCCTAAACAGTCCTGCCCCCTTCGTCACGAGTGCGATCAGCATCCGCACCCTGCCCGACGATAGCATTCTTAGCATCGGGCCCGACGAGAGATCAGGGGAAGAGGGAAGTATTGCCATACGGATTGCCAGCAGTGCTGTTGTCAAGCGGGACCATTGTGCTGTTGGGGGCCTCTTGGGCAGTTTCGGAGCGATCTTGGAGGCCTCTGGGGCCGTCTTGTAGCGTCGGAAAGCCGAAGAGGCGAGAAGTCTAAAGACCTTCGAAAAACACACGGCAATCAGCGATGCTGCCCACCTGGGGCCCTCTACGGAGGCCTCTCGGAGGCCTCTTGGAGCGTCTTTGGGGCTTCTTGGGCCGTCCGGAGTTTAACTTAGGCGTCTTGGGCCGGACCTGGGGGGCTCTTCGGGTCCCGTCGCGGCTCGCCGCGTGACTCTTGGCGCCCTCGTGGCCCGTCTGGGGGGCCCAGTGGGCCGAACGAGACTCACGCGCCACCACTTCCCGACGCCCACTGGGCACGTGCCCAGCCCCTGAGAGGCTTCGGAAGTTGGGGTCCGGGCCCCCGACGCATTCTTCAGACTCGGGGACTGAGGCCCACTCCGTGCCCAGCGGCACGGGGGCGAAGACGCACAGTCACGTCGTCACCCCACGCGCATGGGGGCGGTGGGAAAAACGGCTGGCTGATTCCTCCCCTCGTTACTACTTTCCACCCCTACCGTCGAGCCCGAAATGAGGGAACTGGCGGAGGGTGACGAGAATGAGGGGGTGGAGGACGACATAGTGTTTGTGATGGATGGTGGTGTTGACTGTGATGGTGATGATAACGACTTTGATGGTGACGATGTTGCTGAGGATGAATAGGATCATTCTGATCAGGATGGTGATTATGTCCTAAAATTCACCAATTGGGACAGAGATGATGATGATGATGATGATGATGATGATGATGATGATGATGATGATGATGATGATGATGATGATGATGATGATGATGATGATGATGATGATGATGATGATTGATGATTGATGATTGGTGATTGATGGTTGATGATGCTGATGCTGATGCTGATGCTGATGCTGATGCTGATGCTGATGCTGATGCTGATGGTGATGGTGATGGTGATGGTGATGATGGCGGTGATGATGATGATGATGTTGATGATGCTGATGCTGATGCTGATGATGATGATGATACTGATGATGCTGATGATGATGATGCTGATGATGATGCTGATGATGCTGATGCTGGTGCTGATGCTGATGCTGATGCTGCTGATAATGATGATATTGATGATGAGGTTGATGCTAATGATGATGATGCTGATGCTGCTGCCGATGATGGTGGTGCTGATGCTGATGCAGATGCTGATGATGATGATGCTGGTGATGATGCTGCTGATGATGTTGATGCTGCTGATGATGATGCTGATTATGATGCTGATGCTGCTGATGCTGATGCTGATACTGATGATGATGCTGATGATGATGTTGATGTTGATGATGAGGATGATGATGCTGATGCTGATGCTGCTTATTCTGATGCTCATGATCATGATGATGCTGATGATGGTGATGGTGATGACGCTGCTGATGATGATGCTGATTCTGATTATGATGAGGATGTGGATGAGGGTGAGTTTGAGGATGAGGAGGATGAGGATGACGATGAGGATTGTGATGATGATGATGATGATGATGATGATGATGATGATGATGGCAATGACGACGATGATGATGCTGATGATGAAGATTCTGGTGATGCTGATGATGCTGATGATGATGATGCTGATGATGATGGTGGTGGTCGTGATGATGATGATGATGATGATGATGATGCTGCTGATGATGATGATGATGATGATGATCATGATCATGATGATGATGATGATGATGATGATGATGATGATGATGTTGATGCTGATGATGATGCGGATGATGCTGATGATGATGAGGATGAGGAGGGGCCATCATGATAAGGATGAGGAGGAGCAGCCTCGTTCATGAAAGGCCTCGGTATCCCATACACCTGGCTTTCTCTCGGAGATCCGTGCGTGCTTCGTTCCTAGTACATTATTGCACAAGGGCCTTGCGCTCAGTTTCGCCGACCCTGACAGCGTGCGCGAAAGAGCGGAACAGGGATTGGAGGCGAGAGGCAGTTGCGGTTTTCGCGTGAGGGCGCCCTTCCGCGGTCATGTCCCAGAGGGTTTGGGGGGTTCTTGGGGGGCTTTGGGTGCGGTTATTCCACATGGGTGCGTCTTCGGATCCCGTCTGAACCTCTTGGGGATCGTTGGATTATGTCGGGGTTGGGGGGGCTTCAGCGGCACGACCGTGGCGTGCTTTTTGAGCCCTTCTTGGGGCCGTCTTTGGGACCTCCTGGGCCATCTTGGGCCACATTGGGCAGGGCTCGGGAATTTGTGGGTTGTCTTGGAAGCTCTTGCGACCGATGCTGCGAGAATGTTCAGGTCACGAAACAGAAAAACCTAAAGGATCCACCATGGGGAAACTGGTCCTCAGCACGAGATCTTCATCCCAGC